ATGATGTTGATATGTGTGTGATATGTATGCATGTGGTTTTAATGTTTGAAATGATATATATGTGCCCCCCCCACACACACACACACATTCTGAAATACACTGAATTAAACTGGCAGCCATCATAAAATCCCATCCAACACATTCACAGTATAGGGCCGGAGCAAACTGTTCAAGCAAACACACAGATATACTCTGATTACAGTCTGTGTGCAGACACATTCCTCTCAACCTTTCACGAGCACCGGCCCACATTCCTGCAGACCACTTTCAAATATATGCAGGATGCGTGTACGCGGGAATACAAGATGCCCAAACAGATTACTGTTGACATTTATAGGGGGCTCGGGCTGAAAGAAGAACAAACTACACCAAATGTCCTGACAGGATTCAGGGGTGAAGTTTGACTTGATGAAAATGCAAAATCTCGGTGAAGGTTGAGGGGTTGAAATGTCAGTTTACGGTTCAAACTAGACCAGACAATAGGTTAGTTTCCACCCTGATGGAAAATGTTTCAAGAAGTGTCCTTAGATATCTTTGTGACTAAAACAAACTCAATGTGTTTGTGTATGTAATAATGTTTCAATGATAAACAGCTCTACAAACATAATAGCCCAAGTCTTTTATATTTATTGAATAGCATGGACTGTGGATTTTGACCCCCATAAGGACCGGAGGAACAACTACAGCCACCAATAACATTTTCATATGGACAAATGGATATTTTTTCAATAATCGAAAACCCACTGACAAGTCTGCTGTCATAACCTGTGTCCTGTTTAAAGCACAGCGCGCTTCCGTCCTCATCTGTCTCCATGAACCCTCCCAAGACAAGCAATAGACACAACGAACCGTACAAATGGGGATATGGGACACACACTTTCAAACAGTCTCTCAGGGGGTCCGGGGTCATCCTCCCCCTTTTTTTCTATATTTTTTAAAAGCCATTTAAGACAATAGAATGCCTTTAAAAATGTGCACATCATTTGGGAAAACCATGATGTGCTAAGGGGGGAAAAATAAAAATTCATCCTATAGAGCCTACCTCACATTTTGTATCTAATTGTTCTACAACTGTCTTCATCATTCTGAAACCATAACACAACAAATGTTGTGGCTGATTCATTTTCACGCCACCTAAAGAGAGATAGATAGAGAGCAGATGGGTAGGTTGTGAATTTTGGCATGAAGCAGCATTACTAATCTTGAAACCTATTTCCTGATGTGTGTCGTGTCTGGTAGAGATGTACAAGAGAAGACCAACTAACTCATTTTGGGCCTTCAAAAGAACCGTGTATTTCTATTCAAGATGGACAGAATGATAGACTGCTAATGTTTTGTGCACCGAGCACACATTTGATCATAACTGACAGCTTCATACTGTGCATACTGATTTACCTCACGGTGCATATTCTCATATGTGAGTTCAGTGGAGAGACAAGTGGCCTTGTATTTGCCTTTTAATTTATGTCCATGGCACGTCACTAATGTGCCACTACTTTCAGTAAAAGGGAAAGTATTTATGGGTGAATGAGAGGTGATGGCAGAGCTATGTACTGGAGGCCGGGTGGCTCGGGGAGGCCAGTGTATACCAGGCATGCCAGCGTTTAGTCACGGCAGATAACTGGGTCAATAACCCAGAATCCCCTGTGTCCTCCTTCAACCCCCGAGGAGGGACAGAGACAAACACAGCACTGGAGAGAGAGAGGACCTTAAGCTTCAACAACATCTCGTCGCTGCAGAGGTGTCTTTATTTGCATGCTTGCCTTCTTTCTAACGTCTCAACATTTCTCTCCTTCAAATCAAAATCTAAACGAACGTTAACCTCTTCTGCCATTTGGAGCTGCTGATGTGTGAAGATGTTTAACCCCTGGTTTCTAATCTTTCCATTAAATGAATACTCACTCGCAGACATATTCGGCTCCTTTCTTGGTGCCGGCAGGACGAAGTAAGAGGGTTAACGTGATGAGACTCGAGATCTCTTCTTCCTTCTCCACCTGCTTTGTATTCTCTCCTGTGCTCTCCCTGTCTGTCTCTCTTCCGCCTTACTTTCTGTCATCCTCTCTGCAGTGAAGCACAGCTGAGGTACGGGCAAAGCACCAATGTGTGTGTGTGTGTGTGTGTGTGTGTGTGTGTTAGAAGCTGTGCCAACCTGAACTTGCTGAACTGCAGCTCTGACAATCCCTCAGCTTTCTTTTTCTCTTTGCAGATGAGTTGGATGTCAGCAATCGCTGTGAGGTACAGCCAGCGACACAAACAAGTCCATTTGTGTTATTAGCACTTCTTATTTGAGTTACAAAAAGTCAATATGGGAGATGAACTACACAGGTTTGAATTTACTGATTAAACCTGACGTCCTTTAGCCAAATGTGGTCGTACGATGGAGTCAAATCACGAAGAGAGCGAGACACTGCATCAGACATTCAGCCAAGTAAATTTCAGTGATTTCAACATCCCTTTTTTTCAACATCCCTCTGCTGCAGGTCTTTCCAAAACACAAGCCAGCAGGGTTTGATATTTTGTAAATACTCTGCAGTTCCTGCGTGTTTTCCTGAATAGCCTCCAGCTTTGACACCTTGTTACAGGCCACTGACACTGGAAGTAGAAACAAAAAATACCTGCTGCAACGCCAAAGAAATTCAGCTCCAGACATATTTTCTTCCCGTCACATACACAGAAATGACTATTTTCATTTCTCACGTCCGCCCCCATTGAGGAGTTTATTACATAAGTAATTTATACGCTACATATAACTTACAGGATCTAAAGTTAGTATGTACAAACTACTTTGTCATAGGTTTTAAAGACACGCTTTTAACACATCATTTTACGCTGTTCTATTCACGTGCCAGATTGATATATCTGTTCTCTTGCAGAAGTAATCCCTCAGCGTGTTTGAACTGGACAATAAAATAAAGCAAAAATAAAAAGGTTGCAGGAGCGTAGCTGAAAGTTCAGTTGTTCTCTCTGTCGCATGAAACGCTACCAACTAACAGTCCAGAGAAGGGAGCAGCTTCTTCTGCTCAATACTGAGACTCAGCAGATTCACCCAAATTAAATCTCTTAGTATAATCAATACTTGGAGGGTTTTTTTTCTCTACAGGGAGCAATGACTTGAGATGTTACAGCATCAGCATTTAACTCAATGTTCCTTCACTGGTCAGTTTAATCAAATCTAACCACCAGCAAAGAAACTCCTGACCTAAACTTGTAAATGTACAGTATTAGATTCACTTCATATACTGACAGACAGACAGCGAGCTGAAAGAAATGTACAGCCTTGAAATAAGGCCACACACACACACACACACACACACACGCATGCAATGTCTTTGTCACACCCATGCAAGACATGCCATCAAGTGAGTAACTACATGAATTAATGATGAAAAAAAGATCCCTGCTCTCGTTAGAGCACAGGTGCTGATCCATGATCAAACTCCACAGGCAGGTGTGACGTTCAGGTAACACACCGGAGGCTCTGGTGGCACCGACATCTGCTGTAAGTGGACTAGATCTGAACTCAGTTAGAACATCACAGATGGTCTTGATGGCTGTCCATGAGATTGAATGTGACTTTAAGGTCTTAATCATCAATGGACACGCAGCTACATCATGTCATGATACTGATGGAAGCTCAGTCAGGACAAAGAAAGTCCAAATGATCCGATACATGAGTACCTCAGTCAATCATCAGCCAACTCTCCAACCCCACACACACAAATAAATACTGCAGAATGTTAAAAACAACATCAGCAATTTCCCATAAAAGAGTCATGTAGCAGACATGAGTCAGACTCAGCTAGTCCCTTATCTTGCATGCTTTTTGTTTTGGTTTCACTTCACTTAGAATGTGTGCACATTGTATTGAGTCTCACCACCCCTCTGGATACATGTCACAGTGTACAGTTGCTGTGGTCCACCTGAATGAAAGCAAATGGTTCCCTCTTGTGTCTATTTTGTGCCATTGCCCTAACCTACAAATCCAGTATCTTAATGAGTTGTGAAGTTCAAATGCAGATTACTTGACTATCCAATAGAATTGACATTTGTCTTTGTCACTCTCATATAACAATACACAACGTACGCACACAACAATACAACCAAGTGGCAGCAATAATAAAAGTGCCGAGTGGTGGCGGTATTTTTCTATTGTGTCACTCAATTCAAGTCACAGCTGTTTCAGGATCAGCATTCACCACCCACCTTTTACACTATATTGTAAATATAAAGCTTCTAAATGTGTTTAATTGTCATCGTCAAACTTTCGTCTGACCTTCTCCTCTGAGGAGGAAATGATGCTGAGGATGTTCAGTTCACTGATGTTGAATTATATGTACACTCTAGCATTCTAGTGCTCGTAGTGAGGGGATGTAGCTCAGTGGTAGAGCGTGTGCTTCGCATGTTCAAAGTCCTGGGTTCAATCCCCAGCATCTCCAAAAGAAAGTCTTTAATGATTGCTATCATGAAGTGCTTTCAAGAGTATCTTGTTTATTAATCAAACAATTTAACGCAAGAATGTGTAAATGACTGTGCAAAGAAATGAAACGTCAATGAACTGCTCACTCTGGTTCCTAAGTTGCTGAATAGTGAGTCAACCTGCACATCTGTACAGACGTGCTACGAATATACAAGCTCGATCTCCATCAACCTGCTGTGATGCTAAACACAAAGAGTTTAACTCTTACTATACTCACACTGAGGGCTTTTATATATTGAAATTAAATTGAACAGTTAAAACAAGATTACCGGCCACGTTTTTAGGTACATCTGCGTGACGCCATCATGTCAACATGGAGCCGACTCTCTAAGAAATGAAGTCCGGCTGTGGATTAAGGGAATCCAATTTAGTAATGTATATGTCAATATCACTTAACCTATCAAAAATAAGAACACAATATGCATGGATTTCAGTTCAGCAGCAGTCTGGATTATCAGTCAGCTGTCAGATAATAGTATGTCAGTCTCTTTAAAACCATATCTGTGATTTTACTTCAGTATAAGGGGATGTAGCTCAGTGGTAGAGCGTGTGCTTTGCATGTACAAGGTCCTGGGTTCAATCCCCAGCATCTCCACTATTTGAACAATACACAACTAATTAACCCTTGTATGAAGAGGATGTAGCTCAGTGGTAGCAAGGCCCCGAGTTACCGCTAACATATTAAACAAGCCTCTATAAATACTGACACAAAGGGATTATTTGTAATCATGTTAGTGCTATATCTATGGAGACATTTAGGGTATATTCAGTCAGCAAATGAATATACACCTATCAATAAATAGATCAAACTAAGAAGGAATACAAATAAAATAAATAATCAGGAGACATTTCCAGATTTAAACCAAATTTATTGCCCCTTTCTGAGTAAAACACATTTTTCATTTCCTATGTCACTGCATTCATCTCTCAAAACTAACATTCTGCAATCAGTTCCCCCGATCATCTCGCTATAAATGCAAGTTACAAAAATATACGCTTAGTTACAAAAATAATAAACTCAAAGTCATAAATTCAATCATGTTGTAGCCTCATATTTCTATAGAAGACCCTGACATGTTTTACATGTTTGAGCCCAAAAGAACTAGAAACTATGTGCGCTTTTATATTACCTCTGGCCATTTTAGAAATCAGAACAAAAAAAATGAACTGAACTAAAAGTGCAGCTAATTTGTTGATACTGGGCTAAAACATCTGTACTGTCCTTTGACCTGGTGTCAGTGGAGGCCAGCTGAATGCTTTCATCTCATCCATCCTTAGTTGTTACTTCTGTATTAAACTAATCTGCTATTAAAGGTGTTTCAATAGACAATAAACAAAGAAACCTGTCCCAACACATACTGTACATGTCTACATGCCGCAAAAACTTAAGTGACGATAAATACAGTACAAACACATTTCAGTAACGCCGGAAAAAATATTTTGAATCCAACAGCTGCTTTTCTGTAATATTGGCAAGTTGTTTTTGTTGTATTCTGCAGCTTAATGTAAACTTTCTGCAGTTTTATTCCTGACAATTTAAAAACAAGCTCAGGTCATCAACAGTCAGTAACATGATTTAAAACATCAACAGTTCTCAGGGGATTTTCTGCTTTTTCTTTTCATCTAAATGTTTGACTCCACAGAGATACTTAATAGCCACACAGGGTTGTGGTAGATGTTCTGATATAGGATTTATACTTTTAATATATCTCTAATAAATAATTTAGATTGCTTCTAATAATAAATACATGTAGGAAAACCCCTCTGAAAGTGATTTGAGGCTCCCGGGTTCTTTAAAAAAAAAAAAAAAAAGAATTTTGTACTCAAACAAATGTGACAACTGCTGAGGTCGGGACAATTCTGGGGGCTGAAACTGGGTGTCGTGCCAGAAAGATCTGAAAATACAGTAATTTACAACCCATACAGATGTGTTCAAAGGATCAAAAAAACAGAAGAAAAGAAGTACCGTGATATTCTTCTGTAGTCTTGTTAATTAGCTGCATTAAAACACACGCAGTGACAGACAATCATGGCATACATATGCCACATTCTTTCATTGAAGGAAGTGCAGTAGTTCATTGCAAAAGAGTGAATGTTTAAAACCTCTCTCAAGTAGTCACTTTTTTTTGGGGGGGGGGTCAACCTTCCACCAAATTTCACTGAAATCTGCAGACCGGTTTTCGACAAATCCTGCACACAAGCTAACAGGACCGAGAACAAAGACTTTGATGGAGAAATCCTGGAATTGATATATGTCTTTAAGGCAACGATTGAGTGACAACGTGAGTATAATCTCCTTCCTGTTGGCTGAACTGAAGTAGTCAGTGCAACATTTAAAATGTTCCTCGTCAGACTTGTTCACACACGCTCGTTCACACACTCCAAAACAACAAACTGAATGAAATACCAACCGAGGAATGAGCCTTTCCTTCATGCTCTATTCAGTGTTCCCTCATTAGTTATATCAAGTAAAGTAAAAAGAACATTTTCCTCTGTAGTGACATGTTACCGTCCTACTGGTCAGCTTACTGTTTATTACTAGTTGTGAATATCAGAAGTTCAGACCTGAGACAAACCGCTTCACGGTAAGTTTCAACATGCAGGCGCACGCACGGGGTTAGGTTTACATTACAGGAGAGAACCAGGGCCAAAAGATTCATAAATAAAAATGATTTAAACTGTTTCGTGTAATGTTTTGAACAACCTCTCCTGCTTTCAAAAAGATGTAAAAGGGTCTACATTAGTTAGGGGAGTGAGAGGGGATGTCACTGAAATGTAGCCTGTTTGATTTATATGCAAAGTAAAGACTCATTTACGTTTGCAGGAACATACTTTCAAATGAGAAATTAAGCTTTCTGATCTGGCGATTTTGGTTTGGCTTCGGAGGAAGAAATATCAAACCTCAGTTGATGCATTCAGTGCCTCAAACTGATGGTTTTGATTCCACACAGACAGTAAAGACCTGCTGTTAACTCCATCTGTGCCTCCTGATGTTGCTCTGGGAGAAGTGCTCACACTAATACGAGTGCTAAGAACATGCTCAAATGCAAGAAAATTGCAATTTTTTTGACAACCAGCAGTCTCGACTGCTCATTTTCTACTGTATGCAGTATTGATACTGTAGGCTTCATTACATTTGTATATTTTCAACAGTGCATTTAGTGTGGTTGAGACCTACTGTTACATTAAAGCATGTAAAAAGACAGAAAATACTTTTAAACCTTCAAGTTCCCTTTGCGGGTTTCCTGGCCATTACAACAATATCTACATTGTTATTTCATATTTATTAACTTATGTTCACTTTAATCTGATCTGGTCACTTATCTTTGAGTATTATAAAGTGCAACAACTGACAGGGACGTCAATATATGTTTAATATATTATTATAAATTCTATATGCCGTTACACCTTCACTAGAACGTTGTCAGCACTGTGATTTCATTGAATACCTTTGATGACTATCGTTGAGTTTAGAAATGAAAACTGAGCTGATGCATTAATAAAGAATATTACTGAAAAGATCTACAGTGACATCTTACCAAATGTTATGAGGATAATAAAGCACTTTTCTAACAGAAGAAGGCGATGTGTTACTTTCCTATGAAAACTTAATATACAAAAGAAAGAAATTTGGTGCGGTGTAACATACTGAGAGGATCAACAGTGAACGAGGTGTCAGACATCATTTCCCTGTTTGACAGAAGGAGTCACGCCACGCCACGCCACGCCCCCTCCCCCCCTCCACCTGTCTGTGCAGCTTCCCAGTGGCCTCCAGTAGGATCCAGGTGGTTTGACTGGTTTTGATCTGGCAGTTCCTTTGTGTGAAGCACTGTGCAGTGCCTGGTGTCGTCCTCTCTGCTCCTACATAGCAGACTCCTGCAGGATCTGCATGTAGCAGGCCTGCAGCAGACAAATGTATTATTTTAGTAATTAGATTTTTTTTTTTTTGTCAGTTGGTTATTAAGGAGTAATGTGTGTTGGGGGGGGTTCCACCTTCAGTGTGGTGAACATCAGTCCCATCTCTCCGTGCTGAATGTTGGGATCCATTAAATCGTCTATCAGACTGACCTCGGATCCCAGGTTCCTGATCCTGAAACACAATATGTTCAGCCTGCAGCGTCTGCTCACCACCACAACACAACGTCATGATTCTGTGTCCTCAACACTCACACTGATCAACAGTCTAGTTGCAAGTTACAACAATTGCCTGACCACAAATGAGCTACATTAGCTGTATACAGAGTAATAACCACATGACAGTATACAATAACACACCTTGCTCTCAGCACCACATAGATGAAGAGAGGGAGCAGGTCGTCCATGCACCACAGGAAGTTGTCATCCATCATAGGTTTTACTTCCTGGGTCAATTCCTCAAACGTCTTCTGGATGACGAGGAGTTTGTCTGACGGAGTGAAGGTGGTGCTGCGTGTGTGTGTAGGGAGACATATTTGTTTTGTTTATACACATACAAATACACTTTCAATTTTAGTCATGTCCTGAATTGCACTATTTCTGTCACAGCTTGTCGCATCAGGTGAGGCGATGGGGGTTGTTCGTTTTTTCCAGTGCTGGTGGTTAAACTTTTAAAATGTGACTTGTGGCTGAGCTCCATTAGTTTGCAATTCTGTGATCACAAGGATTCAAGGATCATTGTGCATTTAAGTTGTTAAATGCACAATTTAACAGTATTAATCAGTATCCACTGAGATGTTGGACATGAACTCGGTGTCTGGGTTTCCTGCTCGTTCATCTGCTGAATCACACTGTATCAGGTGGTCATGTCACATTAAGTGACTTCGCTCATTATGTCGAGTCAGTCCACACGGCAGCTACCTGATTTGTTGGAGTGTCTCTACAGCAGAAACAAAGCAGGCATCTGTACTGCTGGACACAATCTGTGATAAAAAGTTGCAAAAGAAAATCAGTTATAGAGGGCAAATCAAAAGAGCACACTTTAATGTTGGAATCACGCGGGATCCCCTCATGTGTGTGAGTGAAGGATGGGTGGATTCAAAGCCGGTGGAGGAAATGGAGTAACATGAGGAGAAAATAGTACATTTATCATCTAACCTGCATTTCCTCTCCCAGTATTGACACCCACACCGGCCAGAACTTCCTACAAGAAAAACACAAAGTAAGCACACAGCTCTCCGCATCAGGAGGGGTCCGAATGTTAAAGGCATTCAAAAACCAAACCAGAATGACATCGTTGATCCTGATGCCATTGAGAGACAGCGTCTGTGGGTCAAACGTGTGTGTGTGTGTGTCTGCGTGTCTGCGTGTGTTTTGTTGAATGTGCACACTCACTCCCGCACTCCCAGGAAGCTGAGCAGCGACCAGTCGGGCTGTTTGTTGAGTCGGAGGATGCGCTCCCAGTACTGGACCTCCTCCTGCTCCTCCTGCAGGCAGTACAGGGTGAAGAGAGGAGGGTAGAGTCGAGGGAGCAGCTGAGGGAGGAGCAGGGAGGAGCAGCTCACCACCAAAACGCCGCTGGAGGACAAAGGAGATGGAGATGAAGGTTCAATGTACGACACAGCCTCATCTATTTCAATAGTTCACTCGGACACCAATCACTGCTTCTCTTTTCATATGTGTGTGACACTCACCCTTGCTCTGCTATGTTAGCGTTCTGTTTGCTGTTAGATGAAGAGGCAGGCGGGTCTGGGATGATGCTGCCATCATCTGGTAGCCCTGGAAAGAGAAACCTGCGAGCAAATTACAAAAGATGTATTAATATCACATCGCGAAGAACATTGGATGCTGATGTACAGGAGGCTGTGGGCTGAGCAGTTGAAGAGGCAATCGAAAGAGAGAGCCCAGAGCTGGAGTCTACCTGACGATGCTGTAGAAATGAATGAGGTAGGCCAGAAGCTCCCGGACGGCCAGCCTGAGCAGCCGGCGGTTGGATCCCACACCGACGTAAGTCATCCTGTAGACCGTCACCAATGTCTCCACCAGCCAGCCCAGAGGGTGGTGAGGGGTCTCACACGCCTGACACACAACCACGGTCACAGAGTGAAAACTTAAGTATCGCACCAACAAAACCACAGATAGAGGAACCTATCCTCTGCTTGCCAGTGTATTAGTTTAGTGCATGTTTCACACACAGCCACTTGTACCTTGATGAGGTATCTTCGTATGTTGTCGTAGTTTGCAGTGGTCACCGGTTCTCCATGGTGAGGAATAAACTCCAAACACTCCAAAGCTTTACTCTGAGACCGAGTGAGATCTGGGCTACAAACACACACACTTATTTTAACACACAGCTGTTTTCCCCACTATACGTGATCAGGCTGGCAACAAAATTCACTTTGATGTATTACAGGTGGATGTGAGTAAATACGAATTGATCGCGTACTGGGTGCTTCTGTGTGTGTGTGTGTGTGTGTGTGTTTTGCCGTATCTACCTTTGTCGCCTTGCAGTTGTTATAGTCACAGCAATGTTGTCCCAGGCTGCAGTCCTCTCTCCTCTCCCAGCAGAGTCACAGCCCAGTCGACTCCAACACTCATCAAACACGCAGAGCCACCTCTGGCCTGCAGGCACCGCGTACTGACCCATCCGGCTGCACATGCACACATTCAAATATTAAAAAAAAATACCAAACGCGACACGAGCACTAGATGATACAAACTCGGATATCCCGTTTTGAGTGACACCAATCAACACATTACATTCACACAATGGAATATCAGAAGGCAAAGAAAGAATACACACAAACTGATAAACAACATATGTGGTATTTTTACAGAAAATACAGATTTAAAAGAGTACAAAGTAATACTCACAGCAGGCCGTTTCTCTCTTTGTTTTCCGGTTCATCTGCAGATGGTTTGAGGTACGTTCCATCTACTTTCAGCCCTGTCGTCCACTCTCCACTAAACAGGCCCTCCAAGCAGTCCCCGTTAGCCAGGGACAAAACACCCTGAAGAAGAAGGGAAGGGAGTAATGAATGAAATGATGTCAAACGTCTTGTAGTTGTAGAGGTCGGGTTTTGTGGTGATTGACTCGGACGTTTTGCATTAAGAACTCTGAGATTTTAAGTTGGAATTAAGTACAAAAAGACAAGTAACAAAAAAGAAGGACAACCAGTTACAGTAGAAAGTTGTAAAGAGCATTAGACGTGGACACAAGATGCCGTTAGGGGCAGAAATGTCTAGAGAGCATGACAGAGCTTTCTACCTTCCCGTTGACAGTCCAGTCCTCAGAAAACTCCCCTTGTAAAGCTGTGTCATCATCTGACACCAACAGACCTGGGCCCTGATGGAAGCAATAAACAGATAAACAAATATTTTATTTTATTATCGTTTTCAGCACATCATTGCCTGAAGCCATTTAGCACGAAAAATCAAAGCTCAGTGGCATCACCTTCTGTCTTTAAGTGGCGCTACACATCAGAGCATCTCCATACAAGTTGCTGTTATCCATCTACTTTTATCTCTGAATATATTCAAACGCTTGTAGCTTAAAATAGACAGAACGATAACAGATATGACATGAATATATATATAAAAATATATTATATCAAAAGCACTAGTTACTGGCCCAAAATCTACTGGGTAATCAAAGTTTAAAGCTCCGCAGACCAAGTACCAGTCCAGCCTCACCAATGAGCCCCGACACGTGTGCATGACAATGGCACTGACTCTATTCAAGCTCTAGGGTGAACTTACACACATCTTGTTGTCTCTGAAGATCCCTTCGTAGTACAAACCGCACTGGGTGACGACCACAGCGCTGCCATGCCGCTGCTCGTCCGACCACAGTCCCATGTACTTCTCACCTCTGGGAAGAGCACATGAGAGCAGTGACTAGAGACAGACGTGTGTCTTCATGAACAACATCTAAATCAAATCATCATCATGGTCATGTTTCTGTGCTTTAGGAGCTGATATTGTCAAGATCGAGTAAAACACAACAATGTCAATGGAGCTTTTTCCCCCCAGATCAGACCTGGTGATGTCATCGTAGACTCCGTATCCCGTCTTCTTGTCATGGACCCACTGGCCGATGAAGACGCTGGAAGACTTTTTGGCCATCTTACCGGAGCTCAGCATGCCATACCCGTGCCTCTGCCCGTCACAGAAGCAGCCCTCGTACACCTCGCCACTGGCATACCTTGGCAGAACCACCGGAGACATGAATACCTGTTGTACCATATACCATGTTCATGTGCTAAAGGGCACTATGGCTGACATGGTTGTAGGAGTCAGACATGATGACTCAATAACGCCTTTACATTAGTGACTTGGGGTCAAGTACTGCTACTTAACACCAGACCTCTGTGATTCAACTCTGTTATGTACAATTTAAATGCAGGTCATTTATCCAATGCTACGTACTTTACTAATACATCAGTAGAAAACAGTGTACTGACTTGTACTTGCCGAAACCATGGATCTTGCCATCTCTCCAGTGTCCTTGGTAGCTGTCTGGCTTATTCAGCACTTTGTCAGGCATGATACTCTCTCCATAGCTGGAGAGAGAAAGAACAATTGACCAGAAATGTTGAATCTTTGCTAGTTAATCACACTAATATAAATAGGAAAAACCACCAACTGGTTTCACTGTTTCAGGCATACTGGGTGTTTGAAAATATAAGACTGAAAATCACCGATATTTTCAGTTTCTGCAAGTATTTAAATATTCTAACATCACCTTAAAAATCAGAGAGATGTGTCGTATTGCAAATGAACAACGTCGAACATAAACTAGCTCTTTAGTACTACACCAGGTTAATGTACTAGCTCTTTAGTGCTACACCGGGTTAATGTACTAGCTCTTTAATACTACACCGGGTTAATGTACTAGCTCTTTAGTACTACACCAGGTTAATGTACTAGCTCTTTAGTGCTACACCAGCTTAATGTACTAGCTCTTTAGTACTACACCAGGTTAATGTACTAGCTCTTTAGTACTGTACCAGGTTAATGTACTAGCTCTTTAGTACTACACCAGGTTAATGTACTAGCTCTTTAGTGCTACACCAGGTTAATGTACTAGCTCTTTAGTACTATACCAGATTAATGTACTAGCTCTTTAGTACTACACCAGGTTAATGTACTAGCTCTGTAGTACTACACCAGGTTAATATACATACCCATCCTCCTGTCCATTCTTAAAGTTCCCGCTGTAGGTCCGTCCATCTGGCCACTTCATGGTGCCTCTGTGAAGGCAAATACATTTAACTATCAAACTATTTTTGTCTCACTGTGACAGCATTCACTGCTGCATAGGATTTACTGACGCATGTTGAATGTCAAATATAAGCAACGAGTTATATTTGAGAGAAACAAACTCTCTAACCTGCCGTGAACTCGTCCTGCCAGCCAGCCCCCGGTGTACTGGCCGTCTTTAAAGCGGCCCTCTCCAGTGAACAAGTAGGAGGCCGTGCGAGACATTGCCGCCAACCCCGGCGACGACCCCTGACCTGCACCGCCCAGCACCTGATCCACCGCCTGGTTAAGTGACAGTAGCCACTTGTTCTGGAGAGACAGAAAACAAAAGTGAGTTTTTAAGAAAGAATGGCCACCGGAGAAAGAGGCAGAGAATTCTGAATTATACACAGACAAACATTTCAGATTGAACTCCGAAAATTAGCCGCTGACATTTGCTCCCCAAAGTTGCGTTTCATATAGTGCCAGTTTTTGCTGAGGTGAAGACAACTGATGTTCTCTTCACTGAAGGAAACATGTAAAGACTGAAGAACTGAGCCATAGAACAGTTCATGTTCATTGATGTTTTTAAATCAGCTGGATTGTAATGAATGAATCCGATTCCTGTTTAGCAAGAACATCTCTCTGCCGGAAAACTAAGTATTCATCAGTATATTGGGAACGTTTTGTTTTCAGGGTTAGCTAGTTGCATTTGATGCTTGCAGGGAATAAGCAACACAAAAAATAAAAAGCTGTTAGGTGTGAAAAACCATTGATCATGCCAAAACGTCATTATTTATTCACAAATCCCATCACTACTAAACAAAATGTCTTAGTACTTAATACGTATTAATATAGAAACAACAACAACAACATTCTACATTTAACAAGTTTTTCCTCAATGTTTTTTAAGATTTGCAGAATAATTTACAAAAAAACAATTTGCATAAAACTTCTTGAATAACAACCAAGCTGCAATAAGTAAGTAACGAATGTGTAAACTATAGATGTACCTTCTCTTGTGGTGTAGAGGCCACCAGGGTGAAACTCTCCTCCGGACATGTTATTTTGATGGCATAGCTGAAGAGACAAAGACAATAATGTATCTGTGTAAAACGTTTTCACAAAAATACTACAACATGTTTTACTGAGATAAACCCAGATATCAGCTAACCACTGAGGCTGAATGTTCACCAGCACTAACATGTAGTTCGTCTTCCAGCCACTAGATGCTGGAGCCAAAGAATTGAGTCAATAAAAAGAGAATGAACAGAACTAATGTTTGTTTGACAGCTATGACGTTTGTTGCTTGTTTGATTAGCTTCAACTCCATCCACGGCCAAACCAATGACCTAATATGGATGTTATGAGTGAGAATCTCAAAGTCCAGGATCCCATCAGACCTGGGCGACATCACACTGTGTACATGTTTGTGGTATTAGCAAACCAGGCTAACGCATGACAGTACTGTACACATGGGGGTGAGTGAGATGTCTTTATTATTCATCATCATAAAACACGGTTTTTGGCTCACTGGTTTTACTGTCGCATCCAAGCATTGTTGTTAGTATTTGTCATGTTAGCCTTCATAGTTTGGATTTTTTGAAATGCAACAAACTCACAGTCCGCTGCTGTCTTCAGTCAGTGGTTTCACCCACAGACAGCTCAGAGGGTAGATGTGATGTGTGGAGAACTGCGGAGAGAAACAGCAGCGGTTCAGGTATTTATCGCCATTTTTCTGCGGATGTGAGATACTTATCACAGTATTCAGTACAGTCTTCCAAAGCAACGTTCAAATCCAGATGACTAAGCCACCTCTTGATTCTGTTACCTCTATCTTCTGCCTCAGAACACATCACCTCACACCAAACGGATAGGAAGGAAAACTATGAGTCTATGTTTATACTGAAAGAAACACGAGGAAGAGACACGCAGGACAAGAGTTACATGAGTTACTGCAACTATGAACTCATCTATTTTCACCAATGGTAAATAGCAAAGACATCTAAACCCAAATCCACACACACAGCCTGTTTGGTAGCAGCTAAAGCTCAGAATCAGCAATCAGAACATGCAAAATAAATGTTAACACAGGACGTCTGCAATGCTAAGGTGTGCAATATTACAAAGCCCGAAATTTATTCAGTTAGTCTACCCTCATTGGGGTGGAAGAAATATTAACGATAACACAATACTGGGATTTTTAACACAAAATTGCTGAAAAGAAAAATATAATCCTCCATGAAAGGAGGATTTGTTGCAGGGCTCATGGCCTGAACATTAGTTTGAGCAAGAGGTGAATTCTATGTTTTGTGTGAACAGTCCCTTTAACATTACCCATATTCCTTTGTTAACATTTCTTTATTTGCTCACTAATCCCACGTGTCAGATCGAAAGCACCGAACAGAGGCCAGCCCGCCCATGCTGCTGCAGCACAAAGCTCAGGGTGGGTAAACTGGTGTCAGATATACTTACGATGCTCTGCGAGGGAATGGCACCCTGAGTGAATGAAAGATACAATGCACAGATATAAACTTTATCTGCAGAACATGTTAGACGTCCAGAAACACCAGGAAGACGCATCCAGTGGAAGCTTTGTGTGATCTAAACAAGACTAACAAAGATCCTGTGACTTCTCTCTGTACCACACTGTTTAAACAGTGTGTTGTCGTTATTCACCGTCACTGAAGTTAGATGTTAAAAGTTCTGTCTGCAGAGAATTACTGGTGTCCACAAGTATAAGAAAAATACCATCATTTGGCTATTTTTGTCCAGATGTTCTCTTTGCGTGTGTGTGTACCTGTGTGTGCACCAGTGTGTCATTGAACAGTATGAACCAGTGGTTGGAGAACCGCCCGGCGTTCTGCAGAGTCAGCGATCTGTTGCTGCTTTCACACAGCACACGACGCTGCGGGAGACGCAGGACCTCCTGAGGAACAGGCACACAACGTATATCTGATGATTAAAATCTGACAAACTGCTGAAAACAACCGTGTATTACACTTAAGAGTAGGTCGGCATGCTGCGTTTGTGAATTACCCGCTTGAGACTTTCTGTACCACTGTAGAAAACTAGCCGATAAAGACGATATAGACAGGAGATATGACAGCAGGTTTAAATAACTTAACACAGAGTTGTACTCACGGTAGTTTTCCCAGAGTGGGTGCTCCAGAAGAGGAAGGTGGTTTCAGCCTCCTTCTTCCTCCTCAACAGGGACGAAGACAGGGAGTCATACTGAATGCCGCCCTGATAGAGGGACTGATACTCTGTCGTTAACTGGAGGAGAAAAGGAGAAAATGAGAAGGGTTTAATTGTTTTTTATTTCTTTTTAATTTTAGAACATAAAGAAGATTCCACTTGGCCGTTGTTATGCCAGTAAAACATATAATTAACGGATCACAGTCCAAAATAGACGGTACATTCAAGCAGACTGCCTGACCACAAAATGAGGAAGATGAAGTGGAATATTATATCTCCACTGGAGTAAATCTAATGAGGACTGACTTCATTACAAGAAGAACTATCGAAGAACAGGTGTTCCAAAATTCAGGAGCATGTTATATTCAGGCCAATGACAGTAACAGGTTACAATATATCTAAAGTTACTCAATCGTGGGGGGAAAAAAAAGAGATTCGGAGAAAGTGAAAGACAGAAGAAGAAGAACGAGCGAGCAGTGAGTTTCCTTCTCACCACATCGTAACAGGCTGCCAGTTTGAGCAAGACTCGGCTGTGCTGGTGGAGCTGCTGCAGAGGCCAGTAAAACAAGGAAACCAGGTCAACATTACCACTGACGGACTGGTCTGATACACACAGCTGAGCGAGCACGGTCTGCTGAGAGCCTAAACACTCACTGCACAGAGACAGGCAGACAGACACAAAGAGGAATGAGACACCAACAGGACTCAATCATCTCCAGCATTTTTATCTAAATATGCGTGTCTCTCTTCAGTTGATGGGAGCTCGATTTACTTCAGGACAAGAACAAATAAAGGAGCTTACAGTGAGAGTTTATGGAGTGATCGGAATCCACCCATCACCTGGAAGTTACCGACTGAAGAACAATACCTGGAGAGAGACGGACACAGAGAGAGATCTGGGTTTTCATTTGACTTCACATACAACGTAAAAGTCCTCGTACCCTCTATCTCATATCAGCCGTTCTACTGTCTACAGAAACCTGGTATATGTCTTAAACACATGTAACTGATTTCCCAAATTTTTTCTAACGAGCCCAAAGAGCAGAACACTGAAACTCAAGAAGAAGACAACAAGAGTAATCATTTCAAAAAGCTTTGTATTCAAACAGACTAGTACAAAGAAAGTACACACTAAAATAATCCAAGACAAAAAAATTAATAAAAATGTTTAAAAAAAAAAAAAAATGAAATAAGAAGATGAACCTTACTCTTTATAAATGTCCAGAAAGTGCTCAGTGTGCGTCAGCAGGGGAAGGGAAGTGACATCACAACCCTGCACATCATACAGGAAGTAGCTGAGTGACGTGGAGTGTCGACCGACCAGGAAGCTCAGATGAACGAAACTCTCACAGAGAGAGAAGAAGGGATTAATGCACGGCTCCCCCAACGACGGACACACGCTCTCTGTGCACACAGAAACACACATATTAGGTGAAAATGCAGAGTGGATACTGCACAACAACTGGTGCTGATCAACAGAGAATGAGTCGGTAGAGAGTCCTCCTCACCCCTGTTCTGTAGCGGTGTGAGGAGGAGCTTCCTGACGCTGCTCAACCAGCAGTAAAACTGTCTCTCTCTGGAGGCCAGCTCATGGATAGCGGAGATAAAACCCATGACGTTCTGGTCCGCCAACGCCGCACAGCTCTGACCACCGCTGCAAACACGGCTAATGTAATCCATCTACACACAACGAAGGAATAAATGTTAACCATGCATTAGCAGCGTGATGACGTTTTCATATATTTTTGAAGTAAAACACTTGGAACATTTCTCCACCCATCATCTTCGTCTTTGGACACACAAACCTCCATGCAGAAGGGCAGCAGGTTTGGTCTGACTGTATAGCTCTCTGCTCTGCTGGGGGACCGTTGAGACCTGTGTGACCTTTTCCTCTGCGTTGACTTGGGCTCTTGCTGCGGGCCGCAGTACAACAGGACCGGCTGGACACAGTCTCCATCAGCCAGGAGGAGGGAGTGGCTCTGACCGGCTGACACGTCCCAAACCCGAAGACCATCAGACAGCTACAGTGGCCAGCAAGGGACAGAATACAGAAGGCTATGTACTGGTTTGTTGTAGATCTGTTAGTGTGACTGCAACATGATTACTTCACTGTATATTCTAACATGTGACCTGGCAAACAGTATACTGGAAGCTCTTGTCTTCTCTCGCTCTGTTATTTCAGCACATTCATATTCGTATGTCCTTGTGTATGTTTTACAGGGTGATCTTCACCCACCTAATGAGACGTTACTTTCTCATTTTCAGTCATATTTCTGCGCATGATGCCATGACATGGCACAAGATGATTGATTGACTAACTAATTGATTGTGTGACTGACTGGATTTATGTAAGTGCATAAGAAAAGAAATAAGCATTTCAAAATATTAAAAATATTTGACTAAACGTGAAAGAGCAGACATGACAGATCGCTGTACCTTTGTCTGTTGAGGTACAGTGACAGGACTGTTGACATGGCCGAGCTGTCCACACATGTTGCTGCCCCATGTGTACACCTGAAAAACACGAGATAAGTTAACTGGTGTAAATATGTGTGTGCGCATTTGTACTTCTATGTTTGTGAGAAACCAACTTGACTTTTACCTTCGAAATTATGACATTTTCTTCAGTCGTCATGAAACTTTATTTACAGCTTAATGTGTGTCTGTGTGTCTGTTACCTGGCAGTGAGCTGTGAGAGCCAGTGAATGGTGTGACCCTGCGGCGACTTTGATCACTTCCTCGCCTGTCAAACACTTGATGCACAGAGGCTGAAGTCTGAACACACACACACAAACACACAGACACGTGTTGTCTACATTGGAGGAGTTTCAGTCACGTTTTTAAGTCGTCCATCCCCCGACTTGTGTGTGTATGTCTGTGTTTGTGTGTCCACACCTGGCGAGCTGATCTCCATGTCCCAGTTGTCCCTCAGACCCGCGGCCCCAGCTCCACACTTCTGTCTCTAGAGACGGCAGCCCTTCTCCAGCCTCCTCCGGTGCTGCAGCCCGGGTCCGACACGAGGAGGACGACTTGCAGGCACACGGATGCCGCCGCCGTGGAGACCCTGAAAGAAAAATACATGATCCAACGGTAAAGCCCTGGTTTTAGACATCTCTCAAGACTGAAAATGAAAAACAGCAAGTACAAACAGAGGAAGTAGATGATGCGTCTCATACTGCAACATAATGTGGGAAGTACAAGACATGATGAGAGACAAATCTATACACAAAGTGTCCCATATAAGAAGTATAACACAACACGTAGCTGGTCTGCGTTGCCTTTTGTCCACAAGAAAACTGCACCAGAGTTCACATACAATGTTCTCACCAGCCTAAATAAACTACATGGGCAAACACATACAAACCGCAACGAACAGGTTTGGTAAGAACTAGCCCGAATGACTTCGTGAGCTCCTCCGGCACAAACTCGTAGAATCTTGTATCCTGAAAATAGCCAGCAGTGAGCTGTGGGAATCTGCCACGGTTGGGTAAACAGGCACAGAGCAGGAAATCACGGTGTGGGGAAGATCCTGAGGTTTTTCTGTTCTGCCACACAGGTTAACAAAGGTCAACTATTTACAGCTAAGGGCTGCCTCCTCTTAGCCGGTTAGACGACTAAGCGGCTCTATTGGTCTTTGTCAACTAAGATTTCTTCAGTATATTAGTATTTTTTAATGCTTTTTATCATGTAGAATTACTCATTCCCAGGAAATGTATGAACACATCTCTGGTAAAGACAATATTTAAAGTGGTGCTTTTGTCTTATTCTTTGTGGAGAAACAGTTTTACAGATTAAATCAACTAATTCATTCAATTGTATTATAAAGAATTTCTTTGGTCTACCACAGGCTAATAACAGACTTTCATTCCGACACTCCAAACCAGAAAACAAGAAGTTCGTCTGCTGCGTCTACTAATCACAATTCCCTTAAAAAGGTCCAACAATGTGTCGGCCTGTCTTCTGTGGCATTATCCATGACTGTCATACATTGTGCTGTGGATATATGAAGTGTAAAGATTCAGCAATGGGAAGGGCCATACACCACAACATTCTTCTCATTTGGCTTAGTCAACACAGGTTACATTGTGAATAAAGGACTTCCTGATTTTCAATGTGACGTAATTTTCATTTTCTCCTGATAAGTTAATGTTCATGTTATCTCAAGATAACAAAGATAGTTTTATCACATGAGCATGTGTATGCTGATCTTGACTTATACATCAGTTGATCTGATGTAATAACGTCAGATCCAGGAGAACCTATTATTGTTCAGTGTGTCAAAAGGAAAGGCAAACACAGGCAGAAGTATTGTGTGTTTCTGTTGGAGACACCGTTTATATTTTTCTGCCAGGCTTTATGCTAAGCTAAGCTAATAGCCTCTTGGTTCTATACTTACGGCTCAGGGTACCAATCTTATCTAACTGTTAACAATAAAGTAAATATTGCCCGAACGTGTGGCCAAGTGGTTCAAACCCTACTATTCATACCACGGGTGGGTGTTCCTGGCAGAGAGCGTCTCCTATTTGCTGCTGCTTTGCCCTTCTGATTGATATTTGTGAGACTGGTGCTCTTTGCTCCCTGCAGCGCCTTCTTCTCCGCCTCCAGACAAAGCCGAACTTCTTCCAAACACACAGGAGAGGAGGAGTACGGCACAGCCACTCCACTGTTACAGGAGGAAAGAAGGTCAAAGATCAGGCAGCAGATACATTGTATGTGAGAAAATCTCCTTTAATGTACTAGTGAACTTGGTCTTACTTGTTGGTTTGACTCTTAATTGGTGAATCTTCTTTGTAACTGGAAGTCAACAGATCGGTGGAAGGAGTTGAGGAAACACAGCTGTCATCTGGAGAGAAGGAATAAAAACATTTTAGCAGAAAGAAAATAGAACAAAGTAACAAATGGAACAAGCAAAGCAATGAACAACTAAATTAACAAGGTGCAAACAGCTATGAATAAATAAAGAAACTAGTGGAAAAAGAATGAACAATTTAGGAACAAAGAAGCAAAAGAACACAGGGATAAAGACCTGAATGAGTTAATACACAAAAGAACAAATGCACAAAGAAAGAAAGAAGGAACCGAATTACCAACCTGAAGTGAAACTGCTCAGTGAGTCGGTATCTCCCGGCCCGGTGGTGTGGCGCATCTCCAGTGAGTGACTAGAGAGTTTCCGGAGGAGGTTCTGAAGCTCTGCTTCTTCAGGAAAAGCAGGGTTCGTATTGGCTCTCCAGCCTGGCAGTGGGTGAGACTTGGGGCCGCCGTCTCCTTCATTGAGGGGGGGAATGTGCCCAACTGGAAGAATCGTCCTTAAGTTTTGCAATGGAGGGAAGGGAAAAAGAGAGAAAGCAGAACAAAAAAACTGAAATAGATGAAGGTTAAATGCAACAAATGGAGCGATAAAAGAGAAATCAATGAATTATGTAAAACCATACTGTTTAGTGTTAGAATTGACATCTTCAGAAAATGGACATAAACCAGCTGCAGAGCCAGTGCTGCTACCAGCTGATCTTTCCCCAGGTTGGAACCTTCGACTGGGGTCTCTTCTTCTTGGAGAGGTCTGGGAACAAAAACCAAAGACGAGCATCAACCGATACCGAAAAAGCTGAACCTCTTAAATAAGCATCTATGCTTATAGATACTTAACCTAAAACATTTTAACAGCATCTAGAGTCTGTAAATTGTATCTTTCTGCTTAGAACAGGATATTAGGGCTTGCCAGAATACATATATTTTTCTGTAATGTCTCCTTCTTGAAGTTACCTCCAGCTCCACCCCCAGCGGACAGTAGTGACCGGTATCAGCTGCAAACGGCTCCTCCCTTTCTGTGACTGAATGGTGAGGTGACTGACCCCTCTGCCTCTTCTCAGAAGGATTCTGGGTAGTCTGTTGAGGTAAACTGCGAACCAGGGCCAGGCTGTGGTAGGCACCACAAGCCACCTGTGGATAAAAAAAAAAAAAAAAGAGATTGTGTTTCTGGACACAGAACGTAGTATCTTTTTGTAATTTAAATGTGGCAAAGAAGATATAAGGAAGAGCAACTACCTGAATGACATGTCTGCCTGCCAAGTGCTCCACCTGTGCCAGAGATGGAAATAATACAAATGTTCAATTAGTGCACACATTTAGTATCATTTCTCTCACCAGCTAAAAGATTCCACATTCAACAAAAGCATCAATATCCACAACTGGGTTGAGTCAGAGGTTTTGATTTTGGCTTGTTGACATATGAAATTAATTGAGCTTTATACACATTACCTTCTGTGGTCTCCACACAGGAAAGGTGTTGGTGACCAGGCCGAGTTGGCAGCCGCTCCCCCACGCCCACAGCTCGTTCTGGGCCGACAGAGCCAGGCTGTGCTCCCGTCCAAAAGCCAGATCCACGACCCGAACCACTGCTGGAGGAACGACGTCACTGTCCACCACACTGACCGGGCAAGGCTCTGGAACTGGAGGATTCATATAGCTTATAAAATATAATATAAAGAAAGGCATATGGAAGGGGTTCTGACAGGAAGAAGAAAAAAAGTAAGGACGGCAAGCAGTGGGTAGGATGGCCAAACAACCAGGGGAATGTGGGTAGAAAAGAAGACAGGAAGGGAGGAAGGAGGTAAGGTGTTTACTAACCTGTGATGCTTGTGTCTGTGCCCCTCTCAGTCAGCCCACACTGTCCTGCAGTGTTCTCCCCCCACATGTAGACGTTGCCCTGCTCGCTTAGCGCTCCGCAGTGGAAACCACCAGCGGCCACACGGACCACCGTCCTCCCCAGCAGAGAGACCTCCAGCAACGGAGCAGACACCGGGATGCTCAAATCCCTCCACGACAGCTCTCCGAAGGAATAGACCTGTCCACCTGGACAACAGCAACAACTCAGTGTAACGTGGTAATCTTTTTTAGGATTATGAGTGTTATTATGTGTGTTAGTGTGCATTGAACCATCGGACAACCCTATTGTCCCAAACACACACTGACCCTGTGTCAGCAGGAGCCCATGGTGTTCTCCCAGGCTGGCCTGAAGGACAGGCCTGGACAGCAGCACTCTCTCTGGACAGAGCTGCGCACTGGGGCCCGCTGACTGCCAGATGTAGAGCAGTCCTCGCTCTGGGGGTGTGGGGGCCCGCTCATCTGCAGGGCTGCAATGATGCATGCAAAATGAATCACTAACTTTAGCCTGAAATGGGCCTTAAATTCAGACATAACCTGAACTAAGACAAAAGTCTGTGCTGGAGGTGTCAGAGAGAAAGACTGAGACCACCGAGGTGCACCACAGAACGCCTCAGGAAGTCTTTTCTACCTGCGGCCATCGGACTATATAACTCCTCCCCTTTCTGCAGGAAGGACACTTACCACAATAATAACCACATTATGTGCAATAGCACTTTTTTCAACATCATGCAATATTACATTTCATAGCTTAGCCTAACTATTGTGAAGCTACTTAGTCAGCCATTTCTTGTAACATAACATATAAACCTTTAACTACTTTCACTCACTTTTAAAGCAATTTGAACTGAACAAATGATATGAAAGTTGCTCTATATAGTAATTTAACTTTAACTGTTCGACTGAGAGATCAGTGGACTAAATCTCACATCTTGTCACACTTCAAGGAAACAAGATTTGGCATCTTGCTTTGTGTTTGTGTACCTTTCCTCTCTGTTCTCCATCACTTCAGACTCTCCCTTCCACAGGATAGTGATGGCATCTTTATCAACATTTTTACAACGCTCTTGTCTTCTGTTCACTCCCAACAATAAATCAGTTTGCAGGAACAAAAGGAATCCTCTTTCCTGTTTTAACACCTCGTTGGTTCATCTGGCTCCAAGTGCTTTGTATAACACCTGTTTGTCAAAAAAAACAAAAACAACAACAGTTTTTAAAGTTTGGCTGCAAAAAAGATCTCAAATAATATTCTTCATCATGTTAGCAATTATAATGTCAATTTCAAGGACGACAGCACTGACTGTTTTCAAACTTTGTAATAATACTTTCTTACTGATTTTCAACTTCTACAACTAGTTATCCATCACATTTAATGTTTAGTTATCTTATCAGTACATTAATACATGTATATGATAAACGTATGCTTGTTAATATGACATATTTTGTTTGAAAAAATAAAAAGACTTCCTAGACTTCCTAGCTTTTTGACTGCACCTTACAGTCTTTAATCAGTTAGATCAGAAACCTCGAGTTAATCTTATTTTATCAAACTACTAATCTCAGCTTCAACAAGTGAATTTTGTGGTTTTAATTTGAGTTGTGAGGCAGCTCGTTTGTAATGGTTCCTCTGGGAGCAATAGTGGTTTCTTCTGATCTTCAGGCGTTGCTGGATTCTGCTGACAAGTCACAACAACCCAGTGAAACTATTTGAGAGTTGTCATTGCTGCACCACGCTCCTCCGTCTGTGCTTCACATTAAACGATATAAAAAAGCGTAGCCATATATTACTCACCTGTGTCGGTGTCTGTGTACAATACACACACATTTCAACAACACGGAACCAGTAATCACTTTAACGTTAACTTAAAGCCATTTAACACCGCGATTAGCTAGCTAATAAACTACATACATGTTCAGTAGGCGCGTGAAAATAGAGACGATTGTAACTATCTTGCCAGGTATAACATTTTGTAACATAAAGCGGAATACTTTCCCCTTAAATAAAACATGAATGTTGTATATTGTCAATATACCAGCGAGGGTAAAGCTAAACAACTGAAGTTGGTTAGCTTAATGCTACCGCTGCCAAAAGAAGCGAACTAAACTTACCAACTGCCAGGAGATTTGTGACGCGGCACCTCTGAATAACTGTGTGTAGCACTGAAACACCGAGCTATGGATTATATAAGTTGTACATAATCAAATCAGTGCACCGCAGTGAAAGCAGAAGTTGTCTCTGACAGTTTTGTGTTGTTGATGGGGGCCACCTCTCCGACGGCAGCCGTGCAGGGATAAACAGTACGGCGGTGCCACACCTGTTGGTGCTGTGGTATGTCAAAGAGGCGACATTAGAGGTTCCACTCTACGTCTGTTTCCAGTGCTGAAGTCTGGCTTCCAACATGTCTTTTTCAGATATCCGTCCCTTCTTTGAACGGCATCTGCCAACATCTGCTTGTACTTGGAGTCGTAGAAGATGTATTGGATACTTGTAGTAATGCTTATACAGTTTCAAGGTAAGTTCTGAATTGTATTATTATCCAAAAGCCAAAATGACTTTCACGTTAGAAAAAAAATGTAACACAAAAACATATATTATATATTAAGTAATTAACCAAAATTTAAGTTAGGATTATAAAAAGTCATAATTACTTATTAGCCTTATGCCATGATGGCTGTTATTATAAAATAACAATGTATACTATATGTGTGTGAATGTTTATGAGCGCAGGATTCAGTTGTGTGTTGGAACAGCAGAGGTCTCCCTCCTCTGAGATGCAAAAGCAGCCTTGGCTACACCTGCTTTTTTTAGGAGCTCAGACTGCCCCCCAGATGTTGAGCACCAGGACCACAAGAGGTACTATCACACCAGGGACAGACACATTTACACTAACTAGGGTTTGAAATTTAGGCTGTACAAAGTAACCCTGTCGACCACGCATCAGGGGGTGAGATCAAAACAGCATAAGACAACACAGGACATTTGGCATAATATGCCAAGCATGATTTTTGTAATGCCCAGTTGTTATACAAAGTCTTTCAAGCAGGATACCTTGTCATAAGCTCTGTTTTTTTTGTATTTCAATTGTCCCTTTTTGTTTAGAGATGGTGTTAAGTCCTTGACAAAGAACGACTACATCAACTTTTCCATGGATCTGGAGTCTGAAGATTCGATGAGTCAGTCTCCAGAGAAATACCTAAAGGTAAGTGGAACATCTGCTCATTTGCTCCTCAACATTTTAGTGTTATTTTACTACTCTGACTCACACACCACCGATGCCCAAAAAGCGTCACGGGTGTGTTTGTCTAAGAGTGACTTTGAAATAATACCAATTCTAAAAGTATTTAAACTAAAACCTGCTTTCTGCTGTTCTTTGTTGTTCCTTTGGCATCTACAATTTCTCAGCCAGTTTTGGACTCTCTAAGCTGAACGGTTTTAAGCAGTTTTTGTGTGTGTGTGTGTGTGGAGTTTAAATACTGTGCTACATCCTTTCCGCTTTTTTTTCCTTTCCCTTTCCCTTTCTTTCACCCATGTTCGTGATCAGGTCTTGTTTGCCGTTTTAGTGTTTCTATATAAAAGTGTCCAACAGGTTTTGGCTCCTTCTTTTACTGCCTGCAGTAAAACAGGGGAGGGATGAAAAAAAAACCATCAAGGGCAGCGAATCCAGAGAAACAGGGCCTAATATTCTTTGCCTTTTTGGAGCTGAATACAAGACATTAAAGGATCACAGCTGCTGGCAGTAGCTTTTAGGGTCTTAAATGCAGCATGTGCTCCTTTTTCTTCCTAATCTAATATTCAGTTCACCATACAAACATCTCAATGTGGTGAAATTCAGCTCAATCTTCTTAAGAGACACACTGTTGATGTCATTGTTGTTCATGTTCTATTTTAAAATCATCAGCATCATATTGGATTACTGTTAAAAGATCTCACCCCACCACATCAGCCGACTTTTGAAATTAACTCTTGTGTACATTTGTATTCATATGCAACAATAACGTAACTGCGTTTTTCTCAAAAACGTTTCAATCATTTTCAAACTATACAAAAAAGAGAGGAAGCTACAGCTGACAATGAGACAAGGAAAACACAGGGCATGCCTTGAAAAAGGGTTGGACATATGGTTATATAGAAGTTGTAAATTGAAAAAGCACTAGTGTAGTCTTTTACCGTAAATAAAGATGTTTGCTGCTTGATCATGCAAGAAGCTATTGAATACAAGTCGTACTTGCAACAGTCATGTTTGTTGCAGTTTATACTTTATGCAAGATCAGACTTACCCTGCTATTTCAGAACATTTTTATCTTCGCTTTTTCAACAAAACACTGCTCCCAAATCTTTCTTTACCCCATTTTACCCCCCATCATAGAAACACACACACACACACTCACACACACACGCACACACACACACACACACACACACACACACACACACACACACACAC